CCTCATCATCACCCATCGCCAACTCTTGGGCTACTCTTTTACGAACGAATAGTGGGATTGACTGTCACATTATAACACCCCCACGGCTGAAAGGGTGAGCATGTTTGGTGGGACGTTGGCCCAAAGGAGCCAATTAGAATTTTAAGCATTTTCCTATTTGACCTTATCATCAATGTGGATTTCTATACTTTTCCCCTAAAATCCTAGTTGTGTTTTAATCTTGTGAAAATATCTTCTTTACTTCAATCTTTCAAATGAAGCCTCTTACTTCAATCTCTCAAATGAAGCCTCTAGCGTTCTGGAGATACCTGGCCTATTTTTAGATATTATGAGAAATCTTTGCGATGTCTGAAATGAAAAAAAAGAGATTCCTGAAACATGTAAATGGTGGGATCTATCCAAACAAAGTGTGAGAAATACCTTTTGGTTACTATTGCAATAATAATCTTAAGACTCATTATTTTTTTTATATTTATCTCAATTATTATAAAAACTATGTATATTCTATGAGTGACATAACCAGAAACTGTTGTTTTCATTTAAACTGCTGTGTTTATTGTTAAACACATATACACAGATAGATATTTGCAATTGTGTCTTTCTTCATGAAATGGAATTAACACACACACACATGTATATACATGTACATGTTCTTGGAGTGGACCAGTTAGAATCTCTGGAGAACCAATTATGGTTTTTGTGAAGAACTGATTTGAAACTTTGTAAATTTTGGACCCTTGTGCTCACATTTAACTTGCCTGAAGAACATTATCTCTACTACCCGCAGAGAACTCGGTCGATGAACGCATCTTTAGGTCTTGAGTTTCACCTGAACTATCTGTGCTCTCCTAGGTTGTCATGGTAGTAACAGATCTATTCTATAACCCCACAACTATTTGTGCTCTCCTAGGTTGTCATGGTAGTAACAGATCTATCCTATAACCCCACAACTATCTGTGCTCTCCTAGGTTGTCATGGTAGTAATAGATCTATCCTATAACCCCACAACTATCTGTGCTCTCCTAGGTTGCCATGGTAGTAACAGATCTATCCTATAACCCCACAACTATCTGTGCTCTCCTAGGTTGTCATGGTAGTAATAGATCTATCTTATAACCCCACAACTATCTGTGCTCTCCTAGGTTGTCATGGTAGTAATAGATCTATCCTATAACCTCACAACTATATGTGCTCTCCTAGGTTGTCATGGTAGTAATAGATCTATCCTATAACCCCACAACTATATGTGCTCTCCTAGGTTATCATGGTAGTAATAGATCTATCCTATAACCTCACAACTATATGTGCTCTCCTAGGTTGTCATGGTAGTAATAGATCTATGCTATAACCCCACAACTATCTGTGCTCTCCTAGGTTGTCATGGTAGTAATAGATCTATCCTATAACCCCACAACTATCTGTGCTCTCCTAGGTTGTCATGGTAGTAATAGATCTATCCTATAACCCCACAACTATCTGGTTTATGATATGATAGAGGACAGAAACAGAGGGATGAGACTGCAATTTAATTAACCACACAAGTGACCAACATTAGATCAAACACTGCTCAGGCACTGATCTAGTTACTCCGTCCATGAAAATTCATTGACTTCAACATCTTGAGTCCTTTTCTACTTCTTTCAGACAGAAGTTAAGCATGGAAGAAAATTTCTACACTTGACATGAAGGTGTTTCCCTCTGCCTTCAGCATTACTGCGCAGTCCACATATTCATGTTCGATGACTGGAACTTGTGCTGTAAGAATGTTTGGATATTACTCAGAAAAACCAGGTATTTAAGAAATATTTCGATCTGCATGATAATCAAACAATTGTGTACACCAAGTTGAAGTTCATTATACCAGTTGCACTGTTCCACATGGCTTTACAGGAAAGTAATCATAAGTAATTCCTGCAAAATAAGAGCAAAGAAAAGCCATCCAATTCACAACTGATGAATCACACATAAATACGTGTATTGCCAAGTCCTTTCCTTAAACCAGCCACTACTCTGATGATGGTGGCAATTTTCACAAGGAAAGCCAGACATTCCAGCACCCTTTCAGTCATTGGTTTCTCAACCAACAACCATCCTAGCTTTGCGTGATTGAGCAATAATTGTACATATATTATAATTCATTATACCACCCGATACATTGGAATGCAAAGAATGTCATTTTCTTACAACTGAGTGTTTAAACCATTAGCATTATCTTCAGTTGTAGAAACTGTTGGTGTTCTAGGTATTATATCTATTAGCTCCAGCTGTCCTAACTTAACACAAGTAGTAATTGTACCATGAAGTACATGTGTGGTATCATACATCACCACTCTGGGGCTGAGGAAGCAAGGGGGTGCTAAACCTTTTCATCCACTGGTGGAATGATCAAGTGAGAATTCTAGCTGGAGGTTAATCGGGTGGATATCATTCATTATACTGTA